TATCCGAAGACAGTCACGCGACTTGAACGCCCTATTAAATTACAAAAAAATTGCAATTTTAATCTGGATTAAAGAAATTCCCAAAAATCATTTGTAGTTCGCGTAAAATTCTTCAAATCTTCGAAACGCGTCGGTAAATCGCGAATATTAATGTTTTTCCGCGTTATAATTTCAAATGTCAAGGACGCGGGGAGACGAAAAAATTGACGCGATAACAATTGAAATTTTCGCCTTGAACGTGCCCCCCGATCGTCGAAACTTTTACGCGGTGAATGTCGCACGTAGGATTCGTGCGTCAGCGAAGTCGATTTTGTCGGTAGAAATTTTATGCACCGTGAAACGGCCCCGAACTGCGGGACCCGCGTCCTGCTATGCAATGTTGCACAGCTCGTACACATCGGGGGAATGATCTTACGGTTTTAGGCCGTCCTGCTATGGTGTTGGAAGCCCACGTGCGTACAGGGAATCGTGAGACCGTGTGCGAGCTGCACAGCCCGATTTATTGATCACACGCGTCGCACGCAGTACGCGTACGTGCGTGTGTGTCGCAACGGCCTACGAACTTTAACAAATTCCGTCTACGATTCGGAGTGACATGTGCATAGAGTCGACCCAGCATTACCATAAAATCGAAGGGAGCTAGGACTCGACGTCGAATCGAAAACGGGCTCGCCTATACCTCTTCCACTCACGGTGGAGAGCGACGTTTCGTAACCAAAACACGCTCTTTCGACTACAACATTAACAAATTTCTGCTCCAAACTGATAGAAACTACTTTAAATTTTGCAATCGAAGACGTTATATTTAAATTATAACTCTAACAATAGAGAAATTCGATAGTTCAAGGGTGCCTATTGGTTCAGAGCGTCCTGATACGAGTGGTTATTCGAAATTTCACAGATATTAAGTATCTTTCGCTGTAAATGATTTTGCAACGTGTCACCAGGTAATAGAGATTTGTTTTAATTACTCGTTTTGTGATTATGTGCACGAGTGAATTGCACACAACCTTGAGTAGAGTATGAAGATTGGGTAAAGTAGGGAGAAAAATAAAATGAACGTAATACTCGGAACAATAAAAGCTATGATTAACATTAATATGGCAACGACGGATTCGCTTACATCAAACAAAAGTTTAAGAAAGATGATGCAAAAAATTAAATTGCTTCCCGAGGTTTTATCATTACGTTCTCTATCTATTAAACCAGAACCATTCGCGTATGCATACATCTATAACTCCGAAGGAATTAATTAACGATGTCGATTCTGGAGAAGATAATGAAGAAATATTTTTTATATCTTATGTTTCATATTTAGCTTACCCGATAAAAATAATATACACGTGTTATTAAACACGCAAATAATTAAGTTCTAATCCTTTCTTCTATCTATTAATTTTTTTCAAAATATTTGAATTTGTTCTAAATAGTTCTAGAAATATGTGCAAAGTATTTATGATACGAAAATAATGAACAGAACTATACCAGTTTCCTTCTAAAAATACGTGTAAGAATACTATTTTACTATTTTTCAAATATAAATTTCCGGCCGTTATGAAAAGTATAAACTCCGAATTATAGAATGAAATTATCAACTGCAAAACATACGCAATACTGATTACACTATCCACAAAGGCTTCCTGTATGGATAAACGCGTAACTGACAAGAGAACTACGAATTATTAAGTGTGAATTTTGATAAAATTTTGCACAGATACCTTAATCTAAAACTCATAAATTACTCTTAAAAATGAAGAGTATAAAAATTCAGTTTTCATCCGTCGCAAAAATTTTTTCATTTTGTATACGTAGTCGGCTATCGCTTTATTCGCTTTTTTAATGTGAAAAAATAAATGTCCATAAAATGAAATTGAGCATTTGAAAATACATGGTTGCGCACAAGGCGGAAACCATCCGTCTAAAATGATAGAATTTTTTCATTTTTTCAGTTTAGGTGATCCTATCACAAGTTCTGGCGGCGCCCGTCAAGGATTCTGATTTTCATAGCAATTCAGCGTACGATACATATCAAAGATACAAGTGCATACAAATGAAATAAAAATTTTTTTTCTTGTCGTATATTTCTCGTACAATAAATCCCAAAAGCTATAGACACGAAAAACTGGCTAACACGATTGAAATATTTTCACTGTAGGCAGTTACGTTCGAAAAATGGCGTAATTATAACTGAACTATCCTAAAATGGAATAACGTATGCGCGAAAATATCAACTACAGAGAAATTATTGCGAAAGAAAAATTTATTAGCAATTAGCAATTCGAAAGTTGGCGAAAAGACGGATCTATGAAAGTATGAATCAACTGAATTCGTCGATCGAGCTTCTGAGAATGAGAATGACATAATTCGGTTTCTAACTTAACAAGAATCAACGCAGCTTTTCCACTAATTCTTATATTGCAATTCTACGTTTGTTTGTTTCATAAATAATAATATCACTAATTCAGAAATAATGTACATATATACTCGTATCTAATGTAAAAAGTATTATTACCATTTCACTTGGATTTTGGATGGTTTCAAAATTTGAAGAATGGCGTATCAATTTTGTTTGTACAAATCATCCAGCAATGGTATTAGGTATTTAATTAGAAGGAGCATACAGTATCTGTACACACAGTTTATTTCTGACCGTACAAAGGACGTGCATATTTCTCAATACAGAATAAATCTGGAATGGCTGCTCACTAAAAATAGAAGACTCGTATTGTTCGAATGTTTCACATATAGTACACTAAATACCTCTCAACCATCTTACCTCTTGGAAAATATTCTCAATCACAGATTCAATCGACACTCCATTACCATCGTTGAAAGACTACACGTTATACACTGTCGCGCATCAACGTTTTAAGAACGTTTTGCGACAATTTCAGTTTACTTTTAGAATTTCCTACATTATGACTTTATCTAGTTTGTAACATATAACAATATACTAATAATAATAACATAGTAAAGTACTCTAGATAATTGTAAATTAGTCAACAATGTTTCGAGTTACATACTTATTTCTTTAACGACACATTCTTGTAAAGTAAGATTAGGCCTACTTACGTAAATGTTAAGGAACTACTTCATTATTTCCATACTATTACTCTCACTTGTATATTTATCGCCCAAACGTGACCCCGTCGATAGATCGAAATTTCAAACGCGAAACCAATTAAATTTTTCATACTTTCCTGACGCGCCTCTGAATTCAATCCTCGAGCAAAGATCAATAGAATTTAAATTTAACGAATAGTTCGTATCCAATACTAATTTAATCAATAACAAGATTAGTCACAGACGTACGGGGACATTACTATGTGTAATGACACGGCGAGCATGGAGACTAGTAATTCGAGGCGACGAACAAATTAACAGTCAAATCGTTCGAGCGTTACAATCGCGATCGGCCGCGAAGATCATCACGGAACATCGAATCCGACTCGTCGCTATAATATTATGGTATAGTGAAACGTACGTATCTGCGAAGCAACGGAACGATCAGGATGCAAAGAGCACTAGCCTAAAGCTATCGTAAACAGTGACGCGCTATATTAACATGGATTCCAAGACAAAATGGAAATGGGAAAACATTTTTAAATCCAGTCTCATTTTACAACTTTTGAGCCTTCTAAGCGTAAAACCGAGTAATTCTGCTTTGCAAACGTTAATGTCAGTATCTAAGTATCTACTAAATAGATAACACAGTTGACACATTCTGTTACTGATATTTGTAAACGTAGCCATATAATTTCAAACATTCTCCTATGGTTTGCTGTCAATTTCTATTAACAATTTACAAGGAATTATCGTTTGCATGTCAATTGTACATTTCTATTGTTTTTCTCGTCATATTCTTCGAGACGAGAAGCATTCTTTCATGTTATTCACAATCTTTTCTAACTTTTAGGTTTCTTATACCAATTAACCTCTTGACTACGGACGATCGCGATATCGTTAACGACTTGCTAAATTACCAGTCACGAAGGTCTAATCAATCGATCGAATTTAATTTGTAAATATACCAATTAAAAAACATACTAGGTACGCAGATGTATTCCAAAATTTTTCATTCGATAATATTAATATTTGTAATAAATAATGCTCGTTAATGCGCCTAAACAATTCACAGCTATACAAGTATAGTTTAATTCGTTCAGTAAATGTTTCAACCAGTTACATTTAAGTCCTCTCCGTCCTCTTAAGTGGAAACGTTTAATAAACACTTAAACCTATGTTTATATAACTACGAAAGAAACTTATTCTTCCTGGGCAGAGAGATGGGCAAAATCCTTATCGAGATAAACATTTCGAATCATGAATGAAAGATAAACCACTGTATTTGTTACCCGAGAAGTAAAAATACGCGTTTCAATTGCTGAATGAAATATTTCAAAACGAGGAAATAGAATTTAACTGTTCAACGTCAGGAAACCATTATCGTTGATCTTATTATTCGAATAAAATTTTGCTCGTCTCTGGTCTTGGGTGGATGTCTTTTTGCTAATCGAATAACGCGCCATTGACTCGCGAATTGCGAATACCCGGCGTACGGCTATGTGCAATTACGAGAGCCGGACGAACGGTGGGCAGTATTCGGTGAACCGACGAAGAATTTCCACGCGATTCGCTCGATCGAGAAATTTTCAGCCACCAGAAACGGACAGGCGACGCCAGGTGAAAAATCGAACGCGTAGGAATCACGGTTAACCGCGCGCGTCCTCTCGATCAAGCCCACGTATTTTCTATAAAAGCACGGCCACGAAGCGAGCGGCGACGACGTAGTTAACGACGTGGGCCGTGGTCGATCGTGCAATTAACTTTAATGAACGGCGGCCTTGCGATTAAACTTAATTAGTATCGCGGTAATAACTCGTTGGTAATCAGAGCCGTGTAACGGCGGCGACTACGCGCTCTCCCGTTCGTGCACGTGCGCACACGTGTGTGAGGGACGCGGGTTTCGGGCATGCATGCATGTTTTATTTCATATTTACGTGACGACGTGGACCAAGCGGGGAGGTAGAACGACGATGCTCTAACGATCGACGTACGACAGCGGATGAGAGGTCCCTCTTATCGATGGCGACGAGATATACATTAGCGAACCAGCACAATCATCACCAACAAAAAAAAAAAATAAAGATAGTAAAGAATTCAACGCAAGTATCACGAATTCATCAATCACTGGGGCCGTGTCCGTGGCAGCACATTTCCCTTGGGCCTGCACGAGGAACGAGCGACTATTTCGCCTCGTAGGTGGATCACAAATCGTGTAACAGCACCAGATCGGACGCCCGGCGTAGTATTCTCTTCACTTACTGGATCGGGTACGATCATCGGGACCGTGAGTCGAATTACAATACTCGTGGCGAGTAAACAGAAAACGTGCGGCGCGGTCCGTGGCGTATAAGCCGGCACTGACCGAACGATCGACCGACTGACTGAATGGTCGGCTGGTTAACCGACTAGGCAGACGCGCGCTCCTGTCGCGAGTCTGCCGGTCAAGAGGCACCGCGGCGTTCCCTTCTTTTTATTTTCTCCGCTTCCGTTTCAGGCTGTTCCCTCACACTCTTGTGCCTTCCGTAACGTCGACACCGATGGTCCTTCCGGTTCGTACGCGGGCCGCGCGTATACGAAACTTTTTACGTGGCGACGCGCGGACCGGGGTGTCTGTCGGCCAGCTGCCGAAGATAAACAACAACGGGACGCGCGAGGCAGCCGAGGAGATCGAGATACGAATAAAAGAGGCCGCGCGCGCGATCGTGCGAGCACCAGCGTTCCGATAACCGGGACCGTACTTAGGCAATGTAGCTCGCGAGCAAACGTAAAAACGTGCACTACCGTCTCTCTCTCCCGGCTGCGACGAGCGAGGCGGTTAGAAACATCGAGCACGAACCTGATTGCGGGGCGGCGCACCGAATTATGGGCCGCTATGCGCTTTCGGCGGCCTCTCGCTCCCTCCCCGCCATCTACGTCTCTCCTGCTCCGACCCGTTGCTCTCCCGCTCGCTCCACGCCGTCGTTACCCCCACCCTCGACCGAATCACTCGTCTCCCCACCACCGGTGACGAGCAGCTCTGTCTAGCGCTGGCGGCTCGCCCCCACCACGCGCTGACACGCTACTAGAACGCTCCACACCCTCCCCTCCCGGCGCGTTGTTGGCGCGCGAGCGGTAGCATTGCCCCTTGCGCCTACTCTAAACCTCTCTCGCGAGAGCAACGTTGCCACCTTACGGCGTAGCTGCGGGGATGATAGACGTGCCTGGACGCCAGCCGCTTCGCGCACCACGCTGACTCGCGCTTATTCGATACGCGACGAGCCGGCATCCTTCGCCGCCTCGCTCGGGATACGCGCCTCCGCGATCCTATGCTCGCCTCTTCCGACCGGAAGTCCAGCTATGCGACGCTCCGTCACTGACTGCCACAAACATTCTTCCAAACATCCTATTCACTGTCTGATTTATTGATTTATTCGTTTCGCTTATGAACGAATCCTCTAGCAAAGCGGAATAGTCTAATGACGATGATTGTTAATATTGTAAAACGGCATGTAGCATTGTTAACCGCAGTCTCGAACCGGCCTCCGTTGCTAGACAACCGAGGAAAACATGGCATATGTTTTTAGATGTTGCCAGTGTTATGTTTTACACGCTCAATGTTTCATCATTTATGAGATACTGTTTTGCGGAAATGTGTAAAGTCCATATGTGATGCATTTTTTTTTCAAATGGTCATTTTCCGTACGCAAACGATGCAACCATCGGCACTCGAGCGTTCAGCAGCCGATACTTAACCGGTGTACAGCGTGGTAAATTATATTATAAAGAACGGATTTACATTTAATATAAATATATTTGGTTTAAATATTTAATGTTTGCTTTTGTTGGCTAATGCATATGCGAGCAATTGTGGTCACTTAAGCGACAAATGAAAAGACAAAGAGAAAAATATAAAAAATTCGAAATATAATACATACATCATCTGTAATTAATTTAACTGCGTATGGCATTTGAATACATTTGGAATGCTGTGAATGGACCTCGTTTGATGGTTATATCCAAAGTGTAAAAATAAGTTAAAGAAATAGAATAACACGTTTTTGTTCGAATTCTTGTTGCACGAGACGATCGACTTTGAAAATTCATCGTGTACGCGTACAATAGTAAAGTACGACTTGGATTTCAGCACAAGTAGAAACTGTAGGTAATGAACAGACGCGCCAGGCAAATCGTACTCGATTCCACGCGTATCCCACAAATTTTTAAATTCTATTATCTTGAAAACAATTTCTCATTCCTCTTTTCGATTTATTTTTAAACGTAGTTAATTGTTAATTGTAACAAACATTTCAGTAAAAAGTAACTATCGATAAATATTTCATCTCATATTATAGTTTCGCTTAAATTATTGCTTCGATGAGCGTTAGTATCGTTGATCGTTAATATTCCTTATTTGGTAATAATACGCATACTAATTCTGAAAATTGTGCATGTTTGTTTCTTTAGACCGGAAGTCTAGTTATGCAACGCCCCTTCAGAGTCTGGCATCGACGCTTTTCTGGGAATCCTTCTCGACGTATACATTTATTGATTTATATATTTTGATTACGAATAGGATTAAATCTGTAATAGGGGAAAGTAGCCAGAAATTTACCGATTTCGATATTTTATCTTATACGGTACAGTCTTTATAATCCAGCTATTCGTTGATCCAACACGGCCAGTAATCAAGAGCAACTCGGTGACTGACGTGTTTAAACTTCGGTATTATACAATAATTCAGCTCATTATCTTGTCTATAATTTCAAATTATCTTGTAGTTCTTCAATCGTTGGTTCAAAGTTAGTTAATCGATATGTGTTAGGAACACTTGGGACGGAATTACAACCCCCACTGTTTATGTTTCTTTAGCGCAAATGACCGTTGCGTCGACGCAAGTGAACAGCAGCTGTGTGATTAAAAACCCGTTTGAACAGCCAGATTGAGTCTAACCAGTTTCGAGTGCAAAGTCTCACCCTCTTTGTACGAAATCTAGCGATCCCGATCGGAATTCGCAATAATAAGGTATATAGAATAAAATACATTAATCCTCATAAGCGTAACAAGTGAAGCATTCAAAGTAGGCCTCATCACTTAGTATTTGGGGGATGTTACTCTGATGTTAATAGCTTTTTTGTAAGTGGAGGCGTTCATAGAGAAAATGGGAAGATCAATTTAGTGTTTAAAAACTCAGTACTATATTTTTAAAATAGGTTTATATACATATACTACATCTCAGGAAAACAGGATTTATTATCGAACGCATACAGAACAAGGGCAGATACTAAACAATTATAAATAACGCTTCATTGTGTCTGTCTGTTCGTTTCTACGTCATGGGAAACGGCTGGAAGGATCGCGATAAAATTTAGAACGTATCCTTGGAGCAGATCAAACTAAAATATCGGCTACATAACATCGCAAAATTCTTATCGGAAGGGGGTTGCCGGAAACGCCAACTACAAGACGTATAACATCTTGCTTACATTTCCTTTCACGGCGGAATCCTTTATGACGGAACGGGTTGGAAATTAAACTTAAAAACAAAACACGAACGCAGCGGCGGACAACAACTTTTAACAAAGTCTCGACAATATTCGTGCTCTCAAAATTGGAACACAGCGCAACATTTCATTCCTTGTTAGAATTAAAATTAAATTATAATCTCATTAAAATATTTTACAACTACTTTTCAAAGGAATGTACTTACGTTCTGAAGAATTCGATTAAATTTAAGTGGATTGGGTACTTTTTAATTTAAACTATATTAAAAATTGGACACGCATAAATTTAGTGGAAGATTTTAATTGTACTATTCTCGTTTCTGAGAGTGGTCGGGTAGTGGTAAATGGTAAATCTTAGACCGCAGTCTGTGCATAGAATTTACTCTTCCAGTTGTGGCGTAGTCAACGGATGATGCTGGTCGACTGTAAATATGCTTTGTAAAGTATACACGAATGTGTCATCTTTAAACTACCAGGCTGAGTTACCCGTCTGAAAGCAATGTTCTGATCCTAGCCACCAGCATGCAGCACTGCATAGCGCACTACGCATACATTCCCTTGGTATTCCTAGCACATTGTTTCCTGATCAATAAAGTTCGATCATACATAGTCATTTGTTCGAGGTTAGGCATCTTTATCGAAAGGCGGTGGTCGTTCGTGGGACTGTAAACGTTATCACTGAAGGTCGGTAAAGAGAGCTCCAAGAGTTCGAAAGGAGTCGCGAGAAGGATGGCTACCCTCTCGCGGAAAACTGTTGACTATTGCCTGGTCTTTCGCGGCGAGGCTTTTCTTTCGTCGTACTTCTTTCACCCTCCGTCAGATGTCAGCGTCTTCGACGAACGGAGGGGTGGTGCAGCCACCAACCCCTCGTAAACTCTGCAAGTTTCGAATACCGCTGTCAGGTAGAAGCGACTGAAATTTCGGGTCGCGTTAGCTTTCATAACTTACGAACATACGGAGTACATGGTCCGTTTAACTAATTACAACTCCGAGTAGTTGAACTAGTTTCAGTCCGCGCGCAGACCATGACATTTAACGTAAGCCGGTATCGCATAATTAAATGAAAGCGTTAGTCTTAACGACTGTTTCACGGTAAACATCTTAACGACGTACTCGTATCATCGTTTCGAAACTGACTGCGTGTAACGAATTCCATGATAACGAGCGTGCATTAGGTGATAAACAAAACGATTTGCTCGTAATGTAATTGGTCATAGTCGTTGATAAATTGAACCGCTACACCAGAGGCAATGTCGCGTTAGCGTCCGTCTTACGTAAAGCTGTCAGGGTTCGTTGTCCTGGGTTAAGGACCTTTGGATTCGAAACTCGTTAACTGTATTGGACTCGTGTCTATATCCGAGATTACAGAAAACTGATTACGACCGCTTAGGTGTCTGTAATTCGACTATCATGGTAGGAGTACCCCAACAGCTGGACCATTGGACGCAACCGTCACAATGGATGCTGCTAATACAAGGTCATCTCTTGACACTTAGAAAATGCTGTCCCAGAAAGATACCACCTCGTGAAAAGATCTAATTCTTAATTTAAGTCTATCTATCGGTGTCTATCAACCATATTGCATAAATTGATAACCCAGATTAATATATGGGGTATTCGGTCACAGGAATGATTAAGAATGTCAAAATTGCGTTTGAAGCTTGACTTCAATTTGAACAGAGAAGTATCATAATACATCGTACGACACAAATCGTTCTTCATACAGAATTCTTATTGTTATCAACTGTTGCAAAGAAGTACCACCACCGTGAAGGCTTACGTACCTCCAGCTGATATTCTCTCACGTATATTTGGGCATATTTCTCATTTATTTATTTGTTCTTTCATGCAATTGTGAATGAAAAACGTTTAATTTTGTCCTGTATAGTCATCTTAAACCAATCCTTCATTACAATCCTTTCTTACGAGTAAAAAAGTAAAGAGGGTTCAAACAGAATTTCGTTAATTTTGATACACGGCTTGTTTTGACTTGCGAAATCATCCCTTGCAATTAGTTAAACAGTTACGGTTACCCTTACGCGATAGAAGGTAGATCGTTGTCGCGTATTCGTGTGTAAATAGGCCGTTAGTCAGAGTGTTAGGATAAAAACAATTGTTAGGGGAAAACGGAGCCACGTGTCTTGTAAGGCTGACGGCAGTCGAGAAAGGCGCGTGTTGACGCGCCGCAGCGGTGGTTGCGTGCGCTGGCGCATGCGATCGATACCAAACACCGCCGGGGATTCACGTCCCCGCGCGACGTCACGATAGGAGAGCCGAACGGGACCGACGGAGGACGAGGTCGACCGAGACCGTCCGAAGTAGCGCGAGCCGCGTTAGCAGCAGCCGTCGACGCGAGCACGGCCCAACCGTCACCGTCGTTTCGACGTCGTGGACACTTTCTTGCCGCCGATCGTCCACGCGGAAATCGCGAGCCAACCCGTTCGTAGTCAGACCCGCAGCGTAACCATCGAGCTCGAATCTCGATGACCGCGAGCCGCGCGCGAAAGTGATCCAAGTGGTGTGTTCGTCTTTTGACTGGAAAGGTCGCGGTACGTGGACACCAGTTCGAACAGAGATCCGAGTAAGTTTCAGGCAACGATTTCCGTTTCGCGGATTCCACCGACCCTCGACCCAGTACCCCGCGACGAATATCCGAACGTTCGGTATCGTCGTCGATAGAACGGGGCGTAACGATCCGTCCGTCAAAATTTCAACGAGACTCGAGTCGTCTTGTGGAAACAATGCTGCGCTACCGTTACGATACCGGAGCGGTGTCGGCTCGGTCTGATTATCGACGGTGCATTCTACTGCCACGTAACACGGTCCCCCTGTGTAATAGGTCGCGACGAGGCGAGGTTACGATCGAGAAACGATCGGTGGGAGGGAGGATGATTAGAGTGTTTCCCGTATAAAAGTAACGGAAATTGTCGTGCGTCTCTGTCGCGTCCGACCAGCGACGAGCCGCAACCCTTTTAGGTCGCAGCGCAGCTGAGCTCGACCGGGCGCGACCCACAACCCTACATTCGCGGTCTGCGGCGTGACCTAACCTCAACTCGCCCCACCTTGAGCGAGCTTCGTTACCACCCTCTCCCCCTACGGAAGATTGGTACGGCAGGGGTGGCTTTACGCACCGGTTTATCACTTTGATTCCACGCCAGTCAACGCGTTGATTCTTTCGCTGCGGAGGTACCCGCGATCACGGGCGTCGCGACGTTCACGGTTAACGCTTGTCCCGCGCCGTCACTTTCTGCGGCAGCTCCTCAAGGTAACGGTGCAGAGCTGCCATAACTTTCGAATGGTCGTGACTGACCTTGGCAAAGAACACCGCGTACATCGCTATCACAGGCGTCATCCGGGGTATCGTTAATTAATGACGATCGATTTGACGAATCGGGACCGACCTTCTTCTTGTCGTCGTAACGATCGTCACGGCGACGGAGCAGCCGGGCACTTGTATTTATGACACCGACCGCTTCAATTTTTAATCGCGTCTCGGATATAATTGTTTCTGTGCTGCAGCGACGTCGACGGTGCACTTGTTCGACTACTGGAAATCTATTCCTGCTGCCGAGAAATATTTGTCTCTCGTCCTATATCGCGACTACGAACAGCCTCCAGCGAACTTTACTCGACCACAGTCGACGAACCATGCGGAATTTGCGCTCGTTATTGCACGACATTTAAATTACTTCATGCGGTGGAACCAATAGGGAAACACGATTGCTCGATTAAACGAACTTTTGGACGATACTTATTTCCTTGGCACGAATTATCTTATACTTGAAAAATAATAACAACACCGATGAGAAAGTATAAACATATGATACTGGGTCCTTCTGGTTTTCGAATCTAACAAGTTTTTTCTCATATTTGACTATGTAGAATTGCGTTTTGTACGTTCTTCGAACCATCTGTGTCTGTGTTTCTCAAAATGTGGAGAAAAGGTATCTTGCTATTCAAGGGAAGCTGATAGGAAGTCGTGGATAACTTAAACAACTCTTTATGTTGTGACTGAACCCCCTTTTTAAATACCACGAATCCTTGGAAGATTTTCAATAAAAACATTTTTAATGTAAAAAATCGTAGCTTTCTCTGATACCATGCAACTTCGTGTTCTTCGATTTCTGTTATAACAGTTATCACTTTTCCTATTATTATTCCAATAAGAACAGTGCTTTCTAAGAAGATATTCTAAGATAGAGGTTCCATTGTTTTCCATCATTGTGTAAATACAATTTCGTGGACACAAACGGAAGAGAAACGTAAACTTCAACGGGCATTGTCGAAACGTTGGTTGAAACGCAAGGTGACACAAATGCTGACACGCGTCGGTATATCAAAATTGCTTGGCTTACTAAAATTAAATTGAATTATCCGTTGCAACATATGGTAATAGGGTGAAAATTGGATTTATATCTTACGTGATTGCGGTAGCGTTATATCGTGATCTAATGGCTGCGAAAGCTGTAAGCTCGTTTCTCTATTCTGGTTAAATTTGCCGACAATCTCATTTTCTGATATTCCTCCGCGAGAGAAAATCCAAAGGAATTTAATGGAGCCGTTGATTGGACTTTCTTGAACGAACTCGTTATATTTCTTCCTAACTTCAAAAATGTACTGACAAAGATGTATACGATGTGTTCTCTGCTAGTGCAAAGTCAACAGCATCGTTCAAGGCTACATATTCTGCTGCGAACACACAAGCGTTTCTGTCGATACTTCCTGTAATATGGAAATTTAATTGCGAGTGGATACAGGTAATTTTGATTCTAAAAACCAAGACGACCTGCAGGTCTTTCCCAAGTTCTTTTCCAAGCCAAGATATAAACAATTTTGTATTTTGTATGTTTTCTACGCAAATTGTTTCTTCCTGTCTTTATGTATAGAAAGGTGTTAGACTATAACCATTAAGGACGCAATACTTTACGAGATACTTCATACTTTATGTTAGGATATAACACAACCTTAACCTCAGCAGGTGTTCAAACGTTCCGCTATGAATGCTTAAACATTTTATTGCACGCTTTCTTACATTTTTCATTGCAATCTTAAGTTGCGTAGTAATATCTTCGCACGATTATTTTTAACGTTAACTCTCATGTTACCCAATGTTTACTTTTGCGTGGCTTTCCGTTAACCTGTTTGCTGTTTCCTAGCTAATTATTTACATATGTATGTATAAGCTTACGCGGTCATGGGATTTGCGATACAAATTTCATGCTATTACAATTACCATTGTGTACTCTTGAATAATGATACTTTTGCCAGAGTGAAACTGCTAATTTTTTAGCGAGGAAACGTGTCCGTTGAATCGTTTGTGCGTAGGATGCTCCGAAAGAGGTTTCTTGCGTAGTTGAAACCATCATTTATTTGGAGAGTGTCCGGAGGAAGTGTCCCTGTGATCATGAAACATTCACTGTTCTTCGCTACGTCAAACTTGCCTATTTACACACAGAAACACGTTTTCTGTCGTCGATGGTTCACACGGAACTATTTACAGTGTTTTACTAATAACCTGCATTCGTCACAAATTGGATTCTGTGCGTGAAATTACTTTAAGAAATTTGTATAAACAAATTTTAATTCTTTCGAAAAATGGAAATAGTTGAACTAATTCCACCTAACTATTTATGAACAGAACTCAAGTGTTTGGTGTTGAATCTATGTGTAAAATTCATCCCTCGTGTTACGAGACGCCCTGTATACGAATAACCCCTAACACGTTGACTGCCGCACGCATTTTACGTGGTTTGTCCATGGCGCCAAAAAGAATTTTTTATTATGCGATGCATATTATGTTGAAATATTATTTACAGCGGCTAGTTGAGTTGTATAATCATGTTTAATGCATTTTTCGTAGTGGAGGTCACCGGTGACCTCCGAGGCGCTGTTGTGCTCCCGATTTTATTTAGTGAAATGTTCTAACGACTAAGTTTGCATTTCTTCGAGCAATTGCGTACAGGAAACACCTCGTCACGAATTTAAAAAAATACTGGAAAAATATTGCAATGTGTGTTACGAAAAAAATTCAAATGCAGCTAAGGAGAACAGAAGCAAAGAATTGTACTACAAACGTGGTGACATATTGTACCGATTGTACTGGTCCACCTTTTCTTTGCCTAGTGTTTCAATGTAACTCATTGCGATAATATGTATATGTTTTACATATTAATAAAATTATTTTCGTATGTTCTATATGGCTTTAATTTCTTCGGACCATTATAGTAACAACGGTATTATTGACAAATTTATCAGTATCGATATTCACTCTAATTATGTATTTTTACAATTGATCGCATCACCGGTGACCCTCATGACCCCCAAAAATTAAATTTTGTTTTTAGACAATTGGCAAATAGACAAATGGAATTCATTTTTACAGACTCATTAAAATTCCAGGGCTCTGCCTAGCTTTATTTTCTTTGACTTCTAATTTTGAGAATTAACTTGTTTAACTCCTTGGTGAACGTGGCAGTCAACGTGTTAAAAGAGTATCCGAAAAGCACGGGGAACGCTTGGGAGTTCGAAGCAGATTCGAATCGATCGGTCTAACCCTATCCCGTTCTCTGTTTGCAGACACTCGAGCCCTTACTCCGCATCTACTCCAGCCGCTGGACTCGCGCCGCTTCCGTTCGTCCGTCGTCGCTTCGTCCCCGCCCCCCTCAGCAATAAAAAAAGATAGTTCCGTCGGGTAAAACCGAGAGGGTTGGAACCCTCCGCGGTCCACCGCGGTAAGGAATCGAGGAAAGGGGAGGTAACGATAGCAGAAAAGCTGGGTCGTGAGGGGTCCAAGAAGCGTAGCGTTCGGGTGTGATGTGGTGGAGCCCCCCGGGGGGCCGCGGGGGCAGGAGGTTCGTGGCAGATCGGTCGTGAGGGCCCCAGGCACGCCTCGGTTGCCCCGCGGCGAGGTCGCCGGAGGGGCGGAGGAGGAGGTAGGATGGTGTGACCTCCGGCGTTATCCCGCCCGACGCGGAGGTGGTGCTGGAGGTGGCGGAGGCAGTGGCGGCGGTGGCGGCGGCGGAGCCGAGCAGCTGCTGCTCGACTCGGAGGAGGAGGAGCCGACGGCGATGTCGAGACCGCTTCGCGGTGAACGGGACCACGTGAGCCGTTTCGACCTCCGAGAACAGCGCGACCTCCGCGACCTTCGGGACCTACACGACATCAGGGACCTGCGGGATCTCAGGGACCTCCGGGACGTAAGGGACGTCAGGGACAACAGAGAGAGACACGGTTCCGGGAGGCACCATCGGGACGAGTACCTGGATTACGATCACCATCCCACCGCTGCGTCCACCTCTGCACTCACCAACAATCCGGTGAGTCTCACACACCTTGCGTCTCAACCAGGTTACGATTCTTCCGGTGTCGTTGATCCCCTCTATCAGGGATCGAACGGTTAAAACATATGTTGCAAAACTTGATTTCGGTCACGCGTATCGGGCAGACAAAGTAGCACAGAAATGTTATCGTTAACATAACAGTTTGCAACCTTAAAACGAACTCTGAAAGACGGATAGGAGATTTTTGGACGCACGCGTCTCGAAGAATCCCTAACGAGGCCAAGGGGTTTAATTTCTGGCGGAGAGGGCTCGATCGACGAGAGACTTGAATACAAAATTAAAGAACCCTGCACTCACCCTAAAGGAAGTTGAATTCTCAAGAAGGGAATAGAGAATTCTCTGAAATTATGCGCGAGGAGATCAGTCGATGTCGCTGATAATTTGCATAACGTCGATGTACTCGTACGTGGGAAGACATCGATTAATTCAGCCGGGCTTATCCGCTATCGCCACGGGATGCAAGCTCGAGAGTGTACAGGCCCGCGTTATCTCTTCCGGTCGATATTGAGCACTTTGGGAATTTTCAAAAGTTAGTTTGACTTCGGGGCAATTACAGGTTTCGAGACTCGAGGCGGCGCGCCCCGCCGCGTTATCACTTTTAGTCAAACAGTAAAGGGGAAGAAGTAGATCGAAACTTGCTCGTTCCCGTGGAAGTTCGCCTTTTATGGAATCCTTCGACGGCATTCCCGTCTACTCTTTATGGCGTTTGATACAGGCGCAACAGGGATGAGACGGGCGTGGAGGTGATAAATGTTGCACAAAGCGCTGTCAGGTATGAATATCTCAGGAAGCAATATTCACGCGTATAAGATACTTTGGACGAAGCTTCGAGAGAGCAAATGTTCGGTATGCAGATTGGTGTTTGAAATATTTCCCTTTTAATATCTCCTCCACTTCGTACTGTGCAATATTACGCAACGCCGCGATAGGAGCGCGCCTTTATCGTGTTCATGCTTTTCAATCATTCCGATTTTCGACTTAGATTAAATTCTCCCCGTTGTCTGAGATACGACGCTCACTTTGTTGCAATCTTTCGCAACTCTGAAAAGATGACGAGCGAAAGGAATGCATAGTGGATCAGTCGATCCTCTACATACGCATATTTTTGATTATCCTTGAACGATTCGTAGTTCATTAATAATGTTTTGGATTGAAATCATTATGTTAAGTTTATACATGTCCAGCTAGATTCTAGAATGATTGTACGATACAACCTCACAGCCTACGTTTATGTAACACTGTCTCTTCGTGTATAATATTTATATTTGAACTTCTTTAAAAAGAATCGTTTGGGAGAGGGGTTAATTTCCCGACCTGGGATCATCGATCGACTACCAAACGCGGAGAGAACGTTATTTGGGTAGGAAAAGTATTTCAGGAAACTAGTTCACGCGGGGAAAGTCGCCTAATCTATTCCGGCCCGCGGCTGAAAGAATTGAATGCCGTGGAACGAACGAGCGAACGCAAGAAAATGAAAGATGGACGGGCACTGATCAAAGCGGTCTCTCGCCCTAGTTGCGCGTCGTTCCTGATATATCCACGGTATCCAGTGACCGCGGTCTTCATTTAGCGCTTCTGCATCTTTCATAGGGGCTAGTTCCGTGGAAACGGCCGGTGGTGCAGCATCCTCGGTGCCTCTCGTTTGCAGCTGCATTCAACCCCCTGGCTTCCATTCTCGCCAACACATGCAGCCGTGCATCCACCTCTCGAGGGTCAGAAGCCCTAATGAGACAGACACACGGTAGATGATGGGGTAGAAAATGGAATCGAGCCTCCCTTACCCACCCTCTCTTTTTAACGCCGGATGGGAAACTGGACCGCGTTTTGCACACCGCCCCCCAAGGTCGACGCGGACCGATTTCAATAATGTTAGGCGTCAGGGTATCGGAGTTTAACGCTATGGAGCACGGGGCACCGTTAAAAACAACGATGGTCTCGTTTAAGACAACAGGTACGGAACTTTTTAATTGCTCCGCGTAGCGTGCTTGACGACTGAATCGAAACAAGTTTTCCAGGAATAATGTTCCGACCCAGGGATTCTCAACGAAAGCCATTCTTACTCCTTTAACGTGTTTAAGTGTTACTGTAAAACTGTGGTTCGTTGACGTTGATTGATCTTTCGACCGATGTCTGTTTAGAGTTTATATTAATGTTTTTTGTTATTAATGAAGACTTTAGTATACAATTACAAGTTCCTCCGTGACTCGCTAGTTAGATGTAATCAATATTGTTAAAGAAATATACAATTTCATCGGATCCATCCACAATTCAGCTACCTTCGTTTCTACCCTACTGACTGACCAAAATATGTTCTACCATTACTTATAATTTAAGGTTTCCTCTTAAAGGTACTCGTAAATACCAAAGTAATCATTGTTCGTTCGTTAACAAACACGAACAAGTATTATTCCCGCCAAATTAGTATGTAAATGTTGGTGGAAATTTTTTACGACGTATTATCTCTGCGAGTAGTTGCAAGTTATTTAAAAAGAAGAAACAAAAGGAAAAAATAATATGACGCGCACCATATGGCGCTTTCCGTAATAGCTTATGGCCCCACAATCGCTCCATATGGTGCACTCTGCATTTAAGGGGTTAATAATCTCTTTATTACGGTCAATAAAATTCTCTCGTGAATTCATGGAGTTTCGTAAAAATCAGCATGCCGTACCCAACGCGCCTGAATTGTTTTAAAAACTTTAAATTGGCCAGGTTTCCAAGATATTCCGTCGACATTTTTGTTTCTTCGAGCGGAGGCAGTTTTCAAAAACTACCGGAATCCTGGGAATAGCAAATGGACTGTTCGAAAACTTGTTGGGTCCGGCCGATAATGCAAGGAAACGTATCAGGACACCGGGTGGTTGATTTATTCGTTTACTTTCTATTCGGTATGGAAATTAGTTTACAACGTGCTCATTACGCGCGCCATACGATTTTGAGGAGAAAAAAAAAGAAACGAGAAAAAGACGCCGATTCGATTAACGCGAATGCTGGGAATTACTGACATTTACGAAATATCCGGTTGTCGAAAATTTGCATCCCGAGAGCGGCTACGCTGGACCCGTCGTTAACACGATTCGACTACATTAAAACGTTACGCTTGACAGTGTCGTTTCATCGGGCACCACGTAACAATCTTTTTTTTCGCGCATCGCGGTGCTCGCGTCGCACGATTCTTTAATCGATATCTTTAGGCGTACTCCGGTATCGATTATAAGGGTATTTATCACCGTACCTTTCATTAATCTCGATCGCGCGTCCATCGACTCGTTCGCTTTATAATCGTACACCTGTAATCATGCAAATAACGGGGCAACCATTCAAACCTGTAACTATACAGGGTGTTACACGTAACTGTCGCCACGATCTTTCGTACAAGAACTAATCAGTTTCTGGTCAGCTGCAAACTCCAATAAATAAAGCTATCAAAAAATTTGTCTATTCTAAGAAAGTCAGTCACCTTTGTTATTTTATATCGCGTTGTATATTTTCTATTTCGTGTTATTGTAGCTTGGCGTCAAAACGACTGAACAACTTTCAAGCAAAAAAGAAAAAATCAGTGATGTTTGAAATTGTTACCCACACTTTGAATCGTAATTAATGTTCAAATTGTAGTCCATTTCGTTGTATGCATCTGATCTATAGTAAGAGATTTATGTTTAGTTGCTCTAGAATTCTCTCACGGCAAATTTGCTGCTTCGGACGTTTTACAGTTTTACTTTTAAAGTCGACTTTTTTGGGATAGAGAAATTTCTTTGTATACAGGTTTGTTTATTGCAGTCTGTAGCTGACCAGAAACTGATTTCTTTTTCTTTGGTACATTTGGAAGGATCGTGGCGGCAGTTACGTGAGACACCCTGTACAAATGTCGTCCTTGATAATCTCGCGAACTTAATCTGAACTTTCCGGTCGTCGTCGTGCGTCAAGGCCAATTATCGATCTTTCTTCAACGCCAAGACTCGAGACGTGTCACTATCATCTCGCAATGTAAACGATTCATTATCGTCCGCTACCCGGACGCTATAGAACCCGACTTTACTTTACTCTTATACACGTAGACATACAACCACTCGCGTTTGAAATTCATCGATAGCCACGGACGACCAAACGATCTATACGATGGTAAATCTGCAGTCTCATAGCTGCTTCCAATTAAAACAAATATACTTTTTGCTATTCAAAAAGGAAACGTTAAATTGAAAAATTGTTTTTTATATGGAGGTGGAGGAGGAGTGTAAAATATCTGATAAGATTTTTAAGATGGTTAGGTTAGGTCTGTATCCTGGCCTCCCGATCGAGGTCGAGCAAGTAGAAGAAAATTGGGTCCCTTTGACGCGTTGTGCAACCCTGATTTCACGGAGGCCAGAATTAAAATCTAATCCAATCGTGTAGCGCCAGTATTTTATTTTTTCTTTTCGTTAAGAGCTGATCTTCTTTATTATTTTTTGATTAACAATTTAAACGACGTTGCATGACCTCCGTGAAATTACGTTGCGCATAGCCGTGGTTGCGTCGGTTATCAGAAAATGCCCGAAGGTAAAGAGATTTAGGTCATCGGGATCATTGGAAACTCGGGATAAAGACTGAGAATTGAAGCGCACTTCTATTTGCGTTAAAATAGTGAACAGCTCTTCGAACGTCAATTTTTTATCGCAAATGACTCGTTTCGAGTAGGATTTTATTGATCTGACTGCGCGCTCCTACGGTTCGCAAAAATACGGTACGGGTGGCGATAGCGAACGCCACTACGCTTACTCCTTTATCAAAAAATCTATCATGCGTTGATTATTCGTTTTGTCAAAAATATCGAGCTCTTTTTTAATTTAATAATGGTTTCTGTGGTCTTAAAAATATTGTAACTCCAAATATCTTTCTTGACACTAAGGGAATAAATCACAACATAGATCTAACTAAACCAATACCTGTATACCTTCTATAAAAACACTAAAGAGAATTAATTTATTAATTTATTTTGCAAAATATTGATTTTGTTGGTCCTTTGACCTATTTAGCCATTTTCATAACCACACGTTTCGGCCACGTTTCGTTTTTGTACCGTGGAAAGTGAAAATCGTGGAAATGCGCGGCACACGGTTACGATACCGTTGGAAAATTGGAACAGGAACCGAAAGCGGGTAATCGATCGCCCGGTTGATCCTCGAATCTCCAACTGGCGCGCGGGACGTTGCGCCGCGCAACGAATGCAAATGAAATTTTGCATATTTATGGAACGATCGTTCGATTATGCCCATGTACGCGGAGCAACAAATCCTGGTTTATTTCTCCTCGCGCGTACGCGACTCAATTATCCGACGATTTCACTCGCGCGCGCCGATGAAGTGTAATTTTCGCGCGGAATAATTTAATCCGCTAAAAGGCGATATTACGCAGGCATATTTTCCGCCGTAGTTTTCTCCGACAATGCGTGTATATTAAATTTGTTTTTTGGATATGTAAATATGCGCAATTACGGCGGCAGATTGTTGCGTCAAACCGGAATCTGGTGAATCGCGACCATCGACTAGGAATGTTAAATTCTTGCGAAACCGACTACGATTGGTTCGCTAGAAAATTGAGCGTTGCGTAACTTATTCGAAAAATTGTTTCTCCGGGTTACGTGAACGTTTTCAATTATTTGGTTAGATTTGCACGTATTTCTGGCCTTACAAAGGGAAGAATTAGCAAACAAATCGTTGCATAATATTTTCAACGAGGCAAATAGTCCACTAAATGCTGATTTATGCTATAATAGAGGTTTCAATTTCTATCAGAGATATAAGATGCAGGGTCCATAAACTTCGAAACAAAATTTTTGTTGATATTATTTCTGTTATCGTACGTCAAATACAGAAAAATAAACGTTTCATGGTCCAGCATCCGAACACGTAGCAAGTTCGCTTAAATGCAATTACTAGCTTTCTAGCTAATATCTCCGCCTCGTAAATCCGTAATCGCAGCGAATAGGTACCTGTCGTTACTAAAGATTTTTATACCGCGGAACTGGGTACGCAAGTTCCTCTTATTACGGTCTAAAAAGCTCGTATATACATCGCGTTCCTATAACTCGCGGCTTTTCATTAAATGGCGGAGCATTAAGGCGAGAGGAAAACGATCTTGGATGTGAAATAAAAATGTCACTCGTTGATACTACGACAACCTACAATATGTATCTGCGGATAAATGACGAAATCGTGTACGTTTGTCGATGCTCGAGACGGTAAAACTGGTTTGGTAAAAATTTATCTTTCAATTGCTATTTTTAAAATAAAAGTCCCCTCTTTTCGTATGCAACAACCATCAGGTAGCCAACGATCAAACTATCGCTGACATTTTCACGTTTACTTGCTTAATAATTTTAATTTTATCCATTTCATTAACATTTCTGATGCAAACAGTATCAATGAAATTTTTCATGGTCTTGAAAGTCTAAATATAAACGATTGCGTTGTCAGCGATCAGATCCCTTTCGTTTTTTCATTCAAAATTTTCTAAATTAACTTTAATATATCTTTGAACACCGATGCCTTTCCAATATATTGGAAAATATCTTTGGTCTTCTCTGTATTTAAAGGTGGTTATAAATCTCTGAGTCTCATTGGTATTCAAAGCGCGAAGCCCAATGTATTCGAAGACGTAAGTTTTTACAAGAATCGCATTTTTGCGTAGAAATTTAATAATCACTGATCAACGTTGGGTGGTATCTGGCTGGTCTACATTAAGAACATTAAGAAAGGCTTTCAAATAAATTTTACGT